CTGGACACGTTTTTCCTTTTCCTTAACACTGACTGAATTCATCCTCTATCATATGTTCATGATAAACAAGGAAAAGGGAACAGGCTCTCTTAATTTCTTCTCTATTTTTGTGCCAAAACACCATGACCAAATCAACTTATAAAGTAAGCCACTTCATTTGGGGCTTATGGTTCTATAGGGTTAATCCATGACCATCATGGGAAAGAGCCAGGAGCCATAGGGCACATGTGGTGCTGAAGCAGTAGCTGAGAGCTTCCATCTGACAAAAGAGGTAAAGAGAGGGAAAAATTGGGATGATTTGGGCTTTTGAGACATCAAAGCTCACCAAATGGTCACACCTTATAATCCCACTCAAACAGTTCCATGAACTACAGGCCAATCATTTGAATATATGAGCCTGTAGAGGCAGTTATCATTTAAAATACCACGCAGCTAAGAAGCAGGTGTGGGGAAGTTCATAAAGATGGTCTCCATTGTCGGGTGGTGGTGGTGGTGCATTCCCTTAATCCCAGCACGTGGGAGACAGAGACAGGCGGATCTCTGAGTGTTGGAAACATCAGCCTAGTCTACAAGAGCTGGTTCCAGGACAGCGAGGGTTGTTAAACAGAGAAACCTTGTCTCAAAAACTAAGAAAAAATAGTTTAAAACAGTATTTTAGGTTAAGATAAAACTTGCAGTTTAGTTGTCTTTGGTTCAAAAGTGGTTTTAGATAAGAAATGTGGAAATTTGGGGCTAGAGATATGGCTTGGCTATCAAGAGCACTCATTGCTCTTGCAGAAGATCTTGGTTCACATCCTAGCACCCACATGGCAGTTAACAATCTATGACTCCTTAACAGTTCATATTCAGGGGGTCTGACAGCTTCTGACCTCTAAAGGCACCAGATGCATATTCAAGCATTTATCAAAGTGATTTATGTGCAAATGACTTTATATGTATCTAGTAGGCTCTAATAGGAGCACACAACACATATGTATATGTTTACATATACATGTATATATATGCATGTGTATAGAGAGGTATTTGGAGGGAAGAAAAAAGAGAAAGGTTGTAGGTAAATTATAATATCAAAAATAAATTAATATAACATTCAAAAAACAAAAGAATGATATTAGCCCGTTCACATAGTATACACAAAGAAAATATTAAAAATGGTTTCGTCATACATATATGTTATTTCTAATTTACCATTAATTTTTTGTGCTTATATAGAGATATTAAGAAGTAATTTATTTCTCAAGTATTACTGAATATTAGTTTAAATTTTTAAGAAATGCTCAAATTTCTGAATAAAACTCTTTCATTTTTCATAGTCATAAAATTCTCTGCAGGAAAAATACATCCTCATAACCTGGCCTGACCTCGATCTCCTCCGGGGAAGATCAAAACGGGAAACTGCAAGACACTGAGCCTTGACGTGCTGAGGTGAAGGTCACTTTGCTGCCTTTTGGGAGGTATTTCAGCCACACTGTAACCACCAAAACAAAAAATCAAGATGTTTTAGGGGGTAGAGCAGTAAAGTAATCATTCCCTGTTCTGATTCTCCATTGCATCAGCGTGACAGATTTCTAGCAGGGAAAATAGCTCCGAATTACTGATAGGCAGCCAGGTGAGTGGACAGACTCAGTGGGATTTGACTTGAACAGCAGATGAAGAGGTGAGATTGCTTAGAGGAAAATCTTTTCTTTTAACCTGATGCTGAATCTTTTCTTTATTTTTTAACCAGAGACTAAAATTTAGAAGGATAATGCACTATTGAAAACTGTTCGGGATATTGCTACACTGTAGATATTTTATGTTTTTTTAAATATTCTGACTCAAGGTTTTAGAAGAAAATACAAAACCTATAAATTATCCACCTCCAGTCTGTGCCCTTCTTGATGTCACTAAAAGTATCAATGGTGGTGTTATCTTTTCTGAGAAATGATAAACGCTGTACACTGTCATTGGTATGCCACTGTCTTCTAGAAAGGATTAGTGTGATAATACAGATTTAAATCTTTCCAGCTACTTCATTGTTACCTAAGATTTTGCTCATCAAAAGAATGATTAATTCTTATGCTGAACTAATGAACCATAACCATGCTGTTTAATGGCATTTGATGATTCATCTGTTTCTAATACTTAATAGGATTTATTATGGTCAAGTGGAAACCTCTTTGTCTTCAAATAACAGGCCAGATACAGTCTGATTTCTCTTAGCTTATTTGGATAGAATGTATGTGTTTACATGCATGCATGCATGTGTGTGTGTGCACATATATGTCTTGTGTGAAAAAATATTATTTTCAATTAAAAATAGAAAAAAAGCATTACTCAAAGTGACCAGAGAATAGTATTCATTTTTAAATTTGTCTTTGCATTTTATATTATAATTTTTGGTATTTATATTGTGTGCTTCATTCTTTAGTAAAAATGATACATGTTTTAGGTTAAGGCAGGTATCTAAATCTCACAAAGATGCTTTAGTTGTAGAAACCTGATGATCCTGACAGTCCTGCCTCAGTTTTTTTTGTTTTGTTTTTGTTGTTGTTGTTTTTAGTATGTGAGATCTAATTTTTAAAAAGGAGTAACTAGTGCACTAAATTCACTGAGATCAGGAAATTGAAAAGTTCCTTAAGCTTACTGAAATGAATTTGCATTTCTGCACAATTTGGCATTTATTGTCAAAATACAGAAAGATGGTAAGTAGTCTTAAATAATACATACCCATGAATTTAGAATAGCTAGTTACTTGTAAAATGAGACATTCAACATGTTTTAAAATATTAGGTATCTAGGAATCATCAAAAGTTACACACCAGGGGAAGAAATAAGTCCAGGAAAGAATCTTAAGCTTGAATTAGTCATGTGGTGTTGAGGCACAAAACTGTGAGCCTATTTCCACCTTGTCTGAAGGTCAGAGAGTTTAAGGTTCTTCAAAGTTGTTGACAGCAAGTGTGGCTATACATCCTGACCTAGTGTATGGTTGCTTTGTGTTTTGGACATTAATATGATTCTCAGCGTAGATGTACTCCACTCAGACCAGAGGTCAGGATATTTAAGCATCCTTCTGCTCCTTCTTTTGAAATAGGAAGTTTGTCCTTGGGAGCAGCTGCCTTCAGATTACTTGGTCTAGGGTGGGTGTATCATCTAAAGAAAAGAATGCTTTTCTTATGGATTAATGACTTGAGGCTCAAAATGTTGAAGCAAGATGTCCTTTGTACAATGTCAAAGAAGTCTTTTGTCTTCTTCCTTCTGTCGTATTGGGATATAAAAGTGTATAGAAAATTAAATGCAGGCCATTTCTGTATTCACTGGAACTCCCTCCTGGTACTATTTTGTGTTTTCTGTTTTACTATTTTTCCTCATGTCTTCATTTTCTAATCCCCATGCCTCTACCTTGGTAAGTGGCACTTTTGTCAAAGCTGGTCTCTGACGATGTTGGTAACTGAAGGCTGACTTTCCTCTTACCACAGTTTTTTAAACATAATTTAGTCCATGTGAAAGACTGGACCAGTGACAGTAAAGTACAATTCTTTAAATTGTCTTATAAGCACTTAATGAGATAATTACCCATTAATCTTTCCTTTTTGTACTAGATAATTCATGTTATTTTAACTCAATATTAATGCAAAGTTAGTGTGAATTCATCCGTTCAAACACAGTCCTTTTGTATTTGCCAAAACTAATTTAGAATATTGTTTGTGTGTGTTGCTTAACAAATAAAATGTTTACAAATTGGTGCTTATCCTTATATCCTATCATTAGATAATCAACAAAAAAGTTTTCTTAGTAAATAGCAGGCACATTAGAAAATAAAATCAGTGTTAACTTCATTTCTTAGTCTCTACTTTAAATTCACAGATAAGCACTGGCTGAGCATGGGAAAACCACAGAGACAGTTGACCTGAGCCAGTGGGAACTCAGAAACTCTGGACTGACAGCTGGGGATCCTGCATGGGACTGAACTAAGTAAGCCCTTTTGATTTGGGTGACTGCTGCGTGGCTTGATTAGTTAGGGGTCCCCAGGTAGTGGGACCAGGACATATCCTGGGTGAATAAACTTGCATTTTGGAGCCCAATACCAGTGGTGGGATACCTTGTTCAGCCTTGACACAGTGGGAGGAGCTTGGTTCTGCCTCAACTTGATGTATCCAACTTTGTTGACTCCTCAAGGGAAGCCTTACCTCCTCCAAGGAGTGGATGGGGTATGGCATAGGGGAAGGTAGGGATCAAAAGAAGGGGGCATGGAGAACAGGGGCTAGTATGTAAAATTAAAAAAATTAATTTAAAAATTAATAATAGATAAATGCAGGAAAATAAAAAATTATCTTTACATACCTTAGCAAACAATGAATCTTGGATTTATAACTGCTATTAGTATGAAAACATCAGTAAAATCAACGATATCATATCATACACACATCATGCACATGATTGATCTGTTTTTTTTTATGATTTTCAAGGTAGTTTAAATCTAGAATACTTGTAAGGAACACAGTCACAAGTCCTATAATGACTCTGTCAGGTGTAGACAGCATATGGGATAAAGAGAGGCCACTTAAGACTATACCACCTGCTGACGTCATAGGTGCTTTCATGGTGTAAGCACAGGGTAAGGAAACTTATGCCATTATAAAAACTGACCAAGGTTGCACTTCCCCGCACATGTAATTCATTGTTAAAGACTGCAAGGCTGCAGATGTAAAAATTTACTTACTATATACAGTAGTGTTGTACTATGTACTATATATACTGTAGTGTTGTATTGTTGAGAAAAATTTAAATTGACTGTAGAACATTGCTTTCAAAGGAAATGTGAACAATGAAAGACATTCACCAATGACTTTTTTCAATAGTAGATATTTGTTTCAAACAAGGTTTAACATCACAGAGGTACATTTTAAAAACTGTAAATTGGATAAAAATAAAATGGAATTTTAATATAGTACTAACAAGTTGGTCTACTATCAAAGCTTAAAAACGCTCATTTTTTTTTTTTGACTTCTCTTGCTTACCTGCTTGTGAGCGTGGTCATAGGAATTAATGTGATTGTCAAACTCCTGGTGCTTATAATACTGCTTGTCACAGAGCTCACAGTAAAAGTTTGCCTTGAGATCCTCCAGAGCCTTGGCAATAGTGTTCTCTTTCTCAGCATAGTCCTGAAACACAAAGTTTCAAGGGTTTACACCATTAGCTCTCCCTTGAGTTTACTTTGCTTTGATGGTTGTTGACTTTAGTGCAGTAATTAGAGCTAGAAACAAAACAAAGGACAAATAAGGAAATATTGACAAACAAACTTAGAAAAAAATATTATTTAAAAAATATTCTCAGATGAAGTCAATATGGATTAAAAATAAAAACCAGGAGAAACCCAAACAAGAAAATAAGTCATGTAGAAGGCAGCATTAACTGAGCATATCCCACTTTGCGCCGACATTAGAAAGGAGAGTCCAACAGCGGCTGTGACTCTGCTGTAGGTCTCTGGTCCTCAGCAAATTCAGACTCCTCTTTAGTAAACATCTGAGATGCACGTAGAAGAGCTCGGTACTGCTGCATATAATACAACCGAGGTTTCTCTTCTTTTTATGGGTATTTACATGCTTTTATTGTTTGTCTAAACTACATTAACTTGATCATTGTAATTAACCCCAAGATCATTAAATAATTTTTCTGAAATTAAATAAACTTGAATCTTTGATAATAAGTTATTTTTCTGTAAATTGTTTAAGTACTTAATGTAAAGTAAAAAAGAAGGGAAGGAAGGAAGGAAGCGATGAAGGGAGGGAAAGAGGGAAGGAAGGAAGAGAAGGAGGGAGGAAACTTAGCAGCACATCATATTCATGACAATCACTGAGAATAAAGATTGGTTTACAACTCTACCTTCCAGAGGATTAAGAACAGAATCAGGTGTATGAGCTTATTTATTACTTATTCTATATCTTTTACATCATTCCTCTGATCCCATTCATTTCCACTTCCCTTAATAACTGCACTCTACCCCTGCAGCCCTCCCACCACAAAGAAACTTTAAGAGAAAAAAAATTAAAAATCTTGTCAGGAAGCTATAGTGTGACGCAGTGAGTTATACCATAGACACCTTTGTCCATATATCTTTACTTGCACGTGTTCATTGCAAAGAGTCATTTGTCTGGTTTGAGGCCTCTGGTTTCTACTACACAATAGATTCTGGACCATCACTTGGATATCCATATCTTGGATATCCTGTTGTTGCCCTGTGTTATGGAGATCCTACAGCTTTGGGTCTGAGGGTTAGGTTCCTTCACCTGCTGCAGCAGATCATAGATAAAGTGGATGTTGGGCCGAGCCAAGTCATAACACTGGATCTGGGCTTGTGAAGTTGTAGGGTTGGTCCACCTGATGAGATGTGCCAACAATTCTCCCATGTTTACAACTTTGGAGCTGGTTCACTCATATCTAAGTCAACTGGGTTGGCTCTCCCACTCTTATACCCACAGGATGAGCTCTCCTATCTGACCAAGGCATTGTTGGAGGTGGGACAACTCTTCCCTGACCACGCTGCCAAATGCTATCAATGCCTGAGGCAGGTGGGAGAGATGGCCTGATGGCTGTAGGAGGGGGAGATCTATGAGCTTTGATTAAGAACCATGAACTACTAAGCATTTGCCTATAGCTTTGAGACCTTAAATATTGTTGCTACTGCTGGACACAAGTGCATCTTAGTTGTTAAAACACTGGCTGATTTTATTTATTTTTACCAACCTTGCCAGAATTCTGTACAAAGATACTGCATTTATATAATTTCCACCACTCTTCCCCACTCTAATTTCCCCATGCCACCTAATTCCCTTTCAATTCATGCTATTCTTACACACACATGCAAGCACGCACACACACAGACTGGCATGCACACACACACAGGCACGTAATCTATTGAATCTCTACAGTACTGCTCAAGAAAGATCAAATTGTCAGTATTCATCACAGGCTGCATTATTTTTCTACCATACAAACATATATTTTTTTAAAGTTGAAAATAACCACATATTCATTTTTCATGTGCCACACTAGCACACTTGTTTGTAAACAGATAATTATAAGCATGCCTATAACCCTAGCACTGGTTGGGTAGATATATGTAGATCCCTGAAGATTTTTCCCAGCCTATCTAACCTACTATATTACAACCTTTAGGTTCTGTGAGAGATATTGACTTAAAAAAAAGTAAGATCATGTTAGAATGATTTTGTTATTATGTATTTATGTGCAACATGTGCATTGTTATTGACCAGGCATTTTTAAATACATATCTAGATTATGTAAAGACTATCAGTCATAATTTGCTAGCTTGCTTTATAGCTCCTCTGATCTTCCTTTTGGATGATACTGAAGCAAGCATTGACTCTTGTATGAAGACTATTAACATGTGTTTAGCACAGTTTCCCACAGAAGATGGTAGGGGATACAACTGAACAATGGGAAAAGGAAACAGCTACTCTTATATACTCAATCAAACAGCTCCAACTTTGGCTGGCATCGTCATTTTATATTTAACCATGAATACCAATTTTAAAATGTCTACTGGGTTTGATGGCAGATAGTGAAGAGCAAAGCCACAAAAGTCTCATAGATTTAAACCCATCATGTTTTATATTCGAATAAAATAGTGAAGGTTGAATCTTTTAAGAGGGCAATATGAAGGTCATGAAATGCAATCATAAAGTTCAGAAATTTTCAGCCCCAAGGATTTATTTCAGTGGTAGAGCACCTGCCTAGCGTGCACAAGCCATGAGTTTGAACATCAGCACAGCAAGAAAAAGAATGTTTCAGTTTGCACATTAACAGTGACCTAGCACATATTCTAGGTCAGTAAATTAAAATAAAGAAGTCAGTGGTCTTTCCACGGCCCTAAGAATAAACTGTTTGTCATGCATATAAAGTAAATAGCTTTAAGTCCAAACTTAAAGACAGAACATATCTTCTCTAAAATGATGGTTTTTTTTATATCATCTTCATCATAGCATATAGTACCAATTAATACACATGTTTTTAAAGTAAGATATTATAACTGGGCGTTTTCAACTAACATTACAGACACAATATATATCTATTCCAGTAAACTAGGCATGTTCTGGTTGACTTGGGTTCCACTTATACATGAATATATCCATATGCCTAGCAAGATTCTGTGAACAGGTCATGTCCAGAAACCTAAAACTCAAACTTGTATCCATAGCTTCAGAGTCAAAGACATAACCTAGGAAGCACATGTGAACTCAGGCCTGCCTATCAAAGAGGTGTGTCTCTCTTCAGCATCAGGTCACAGCCAACCATGATGCTAGCTAGGTCTCCTCAAACTCAGCTTTCAGGCTGATTCCCAGAGTTTCAAGTTTTTGCTTTGTATTTGTGTTTCACAAATGCCAAACTTGCTTGCTGGGGAGGCAGAACGATCGTAAGAGCCTGTGGTTGGTGAAGGCCTCAGAAAAAAACAGCATTTACCAGACACATGAGGGCAGGTGCTACTAAGAAATCAAAGGCTTTGACAGCAGCCACAAAACCTCGCAGCCACAAAACCTCTACAGGTTCAAGGCAAACGAAATCCCAGCATGGAGGAAGGGAAATGGACACAAACTCCACCCCTCCTTAACCAGCAAGCTCTCTGCAGCTGAAACCCATGGGCATCAGTTGTCGGATCATTATCAAAGGAGTAATCAGTCTTCTCCAGTGAAGTCTCTCAGCATCTTAACTAATGCTCAGGAGTAGTTGGCCAACTCCAAAAAATATTTTGGTGAATTTTCTGTTGTGTTTTTTGTCTTTTTTTTTTAAACCTTTAGCTTGTGGTTTTCTGGGTGGGGGTTGTCTGTGTATTTTTGTTTAATGCTTTTGTCTTGTTTCTTTTATTTTTTTTGTTTCTTGTTTTCATTTTTTTTCCTTTGAAAGAGAGAGAGGGGGGAAAACATAAATCTTTGTAAGTGACTCAGTCATGTTTGTATCAGTGTATTTTCTCCTAGTCTATGCTGGGGTGTCTTTCAGCCCCTAAGCAGGTGTTTTTCAATCCATGATAAGAATGTATATTATCAAATTCCCAACCCAGGAGTGCAAAAGACTCAATGCTACCCATGTCCACACAGGAATCATTTCCGAAGATGAGAATTCAGGCATGAATTTTTCTATTCGAGGCAGGTATTTAAAGATTGTGCTGGTGATCTAGGAGAACCAGCACGGCTCTCTTCTGTAAGTGGCAAGCATCACAGCATTGTGTCAGGTGTGTCTACCCTAGTTTTCCTTTTTGGTTTTCCTCACTTGTTTCCCAAATCATTCTCTAAATGGAAGACTTTGAGAATTAAGATTCCTCAATTCTTCATTTTCTCCTTCAACAATTTGCTTTGATTTGATTTACTAATTTCTGGGGAGATCTCTCTGACAAGCCACCATTTACTGAATAATTAAGGGTGACATGGTTCTTGTGTTCATATCTGCAGTGCTCTCTGACCACCCCCTGTGCAAACACACACAACTACAGATTCCGAACGTCCCAGCTGCAGCTCTACCGTCATTCCATACCAACTCAGACATCATAAGCAACCTGAATTCCTTAATATTTTTATATCTTCTTAATTTTATGTTCACCTTAATCCTAGAATTTGTCTCTTTTTTGACTTAGAATGTTCTTACACCAGATGTTCAAGTGAAACATTTACTTCTGCACATATCTCAAAAAAAAATTCTACTGACTTTATGATCTGCTCATTATCTTGATTCTAGAAAATATGATAGTTTTTACCTTTAGAGTTCTTATATTTTTCATTTTAATATAACTACAAAACTTCAAATAAGAAATGAATTAAAAAAGAAAATATTGAGTGATTATACTAAAATTATTTAGAAATTATATATATTATATATACAATATATTGTATATGTATATAAAGGCAAGAGCATATGTGTATATAATATTATACACACACACACACACACACACACACACACACACACTTTCCTTTAGTTCCTGACAAGAACTGTAGAAATCCTTGGTATCTTCAGAGTGATAAGATTATCTTCAGTGTGACAGATAGATGATGGTAGCTTGCGGTACCTAAAAAGCCTTAAGATGGTGGCTGCTATGTGAAAATTCCAAGGAGTGATCCATTGTGTAACTTACAACCTCATTTCCAAATCC